GGATCGCACTCGAACAGGGTGGAAGGGAGGACGATGGAGCAGCGGTGTCCAATTTCCGGATTGAGGGAATATACCATATACCATATACCATACATACATTATTTACATGCATACTATAAAGCAAAACTCTCTTTATCTCTTGTGATCAACTCAGTTGTTGTTATGAAAATGATACAAAATGAAAAGAAATCGAAAAAACTATATAATAAATCATAAACTTGTATGGATGGATATGCAGGGCAGGCAGGCAGATGCAGGACAAAATATTTGAGTATAGACAGAGGAACTTTTTTATATGTACAATATCGAGTAGCGAAACAAAAATGGAAAGGGAAACAATGTCAAAGAAGCGGAAACAAAAACCCGGATAAATCAATGCATACGTCAATGTATAGTACATTAAAGCTCTTTATAAAGATTATATACATACATGATGAATCTATATATATATAGACAAATGTACGGATCTATATCTACTTATGGGTACCCATGTATATCTATCTATTTTTGATGTCAAAATCAAAACTACTGCAAACGTAAACCACAACAAAAAAGAAAACACTTAAGGAAACAAAATCGAAACGAGAATTCAAAGAGCAACTTTTTTTGGTAGGATCAAAAGGACAAGGAAGAAGGTGGGAAGGCAGGAAGGAAGGCGAGAGAATATAAATAAGCAACAGCAAAGTTGCATTCAACAAAGTAAATAAAATATTTTTATTGTCATTGCATAATTCTTAAGCTAGTAATTTTAATATGTAAATCATAAGTGGCAAAAAAACAAATAATAAAAAAATGAAAAAAAAAAAACGGAGGGAAAGGCAAGGATCAAAAAGGATTGCAGGCCGGCCGAATGATGACAAAATTAAGGAATGTAGCAAACAAAAGAGAAACGGAAACGACAACAGAAACAGAATGCGATGCAGAAAAGCAAAACAAATGAAAATGAAAGCAGAGCAAAACAAAATAACAAAAAATCAGTAGTAATTACAATATTGTTATAAATATTTGTCTCAATGAGAAAACAACAAACAAATACAAAAAAGAAACGAAAAAAACAAACAAACCAACAAAGAAAATAGACAAAAAATTAATAAAAATCACTCAAAAAGATGAATTTGCGATTATGTTTTTATTCACAGCGTTCACAGATCATTATGTTATGGTAGCGTTCCTTTAAAAATATTTTTAATCGTGGGATTGGGTTGCATCTGTTCCTGCTGCTGATTCCCTGCTTGGTTTTCCAAGTAACACTTCGGCTTACAATATCATAAAGAGCTCTAGTCAGCCATATCCCACAGACTATTCTCGTCTCCATCATCTGTCCTGCTCTGAACCATGGACAACTTCCGTATTCCTCTGCCCTGCATTTCGAGGCTGCCATGAAACGCTTTCAAAATTGAAACTTTTCGCTTTTTAAGTCCCGGTTGCCACGTTCTCTTAGACCCACTCCCAGTGCCGCTTTGCGGCGTGACCATTCGACACGGACACGGATCCGTTTCACAGATTTAATTATAATTTTAAGTACTCATAAACAATATACACACACACACACACGCACGCACACACACAGCTACAAAGTTACATACGAATACGATATACAGTTATACATACAAAAGTACAGTTGGATTTGAATGGCGAATTCAGAATTCAAAATAAGTGTAGATCAGTCCTTAATCGTTGCTGGGTTTTTGGGGGGGACTCTGGGCCCGCCGCCTAGGAGATGAACAAATACAGGAGGAACATGCCAAAGCCGATGTAGTGGCTGAGGTAGCCCGCCTCCGACCAATGCCACACGAAGGACTCCACCTCGCCGACGGGGCTGCCGTCCAGGTTGAGCGTCTCGTTGAGCAGCACTATGCCCAGATAGGCCAGGTGGAATATGGCGACCAGCGTGAAGATCAGATTGGTGAGCCTCACCAGGCAGCCCCATCCGCTGGTCCAGCCAAGACGTCGGGGGCAGCGGGAGGAGCGACAGCTGTCGGGGCCCTTGCACTGACCGGCTGCCACACAGGCATCGAGGAAATTGGCCAGGTGCCGGCGGAGCAGCCGCTCGCTCTCAGCGAAGATGGCCAGGAAGAGCAGCACCAAGTAGATGCGCAGATCCATTCCGTGCAGCAGACTGGACACCACATACGTGCAGAGGACGGCCCAGAACGTGTGGCCCAGGTTGTGCTCCTTGAAGCCTCCGTAGATGTAGTGCTTGAGCCACTCGTGCATGGGGATGTTCCAGCTGCGAACGAGGACGCTCAACGAGCGGGGCCACTCGATCTGCCAGGGCCGCGTCACCAGCGGGCCCAGTAGCCCCTCGTCTAGTTCCTTGGCTTCTCCGTCCAGGGTCTGCCCCGAGCTGACCAGCAGAGCTTGGGCCATGAAGCTCACGAAGTAGTGGCTGCTCCGGACACCCAGTGCTTCCGTGTACATAAGAAGGAAGTGCGAGTCGCTGGCCATCTCACCCAGAACGTGGGCCAGGCAGTTGGACACGGCCACCGCCAGCAGGCAGAGCAGCATGTTGAGCACCAGCTGGCGCAGCGTCACCAGCCACTTGCCGCGTGCGACGAGGCACTCCACGTAGCGGCCATAGCTGATCCAGGGCCCGAGGGCACAGGTCGCGGGACTGTACATGTATCCAAGGTAGGCCAGTGGCCCCGGCATCCGAGGCACCTGTCCGCTGGCTAGGTCGAAGCCCAGCGATATCAGCTTCATGTTGACCACCATCTGGACGCCCCGAAGCTGGGGCCAGTCGCTGCGCTGTCTCCATATGGCAAGCTCGTACAGGAACTGGCTGCCAATGGTGAGCACGGCTATGCTGGTGGCGGCCCTCTTCCCACTGTAAACACGCACCAGCTGCAGAATGAGGTAGCCCAGGGTGCTCAGGATGAGCAGCAGACCAACGCGCTCCCCCATGCGCTGGCCAAGCGTGGCGTAGAGCAGGATCAGGCCAGTGGTCGCGTGGATCAGGTGCAAGGGAGCTACGACGATACTGTTGGCATCGCGTAACGACACTCCGGCTGGCGGCAAGCGGCGCTTCATGGCATACAGGAGGCAGAGCAAGCGCCCGATCAGGCACAGGCCCAGCATGGGTGTCACGTACTTTGCTACTTGCAGCAGCGAAGGCTGCACGCATGCCTCTAGGTTCTGCACCAGCCGATCCATCACAGCAAATTCTTTCTCTTCCGCCGCTGCATCGCTGTAGAAGTTCCCTTGGTTGTGACCAGAATGAAATCCGTAGTCTATATCGCCGCCAGAGTCCTCGCCAAACTCTATGTAGTCGATGTCTTCTCCTTCGTCGTAGTAGTTGTAGTCCATGGCGGGCTGCGGCTCTAGTAAGCCCGGCAAGCAGCTCGGGACGGTCAAAATCGCATTGGGGCTTGGAGCTGCTGCTGTCAAAGCGACTTCTGCCGCCGTCTCGCGCGTATCGACGCTGTCGATAACTCTGATGCTGCTCTGTGCAAATCGATGTCCCGCACTCGCTCTCACTGGTTCGGTTCGCACCAGCTCGATAGAGTTACCACGAGAACAATAATATATGTTTTTGTTTCATATGAGAATAACTAAATGGCATATGCCCTACTTTTCAGTAAATTTCCATAAACTAATTTTCTCTCAACAGTTAACATTGTGATAGTGATTTTTGTTGTTTGGGGTGATTGTTTACGTGTGATGCACTGCAATCGAACTAGTTCTGCATTGAACAAAGTTCAGGTAAATCATTTTCTTGTATTGATATCAAGTTTTGGCGAGAAAACAACAACAAAAATCAAATAAAACATAAAGATGACCCGACATGCTCGCAACTGCACCGCTGGAGCTGTTTACACTTACAATGAAAAGAAACGCGACGCCGCAGAGTCCGGGTACGGAACGAATGCCCAGCGCCTGGGCAAAGACTCTGTGAAGTCGTTCGACTGTTGCTCGTTGACGCTGCAGCCGTGCCGCAACCCCGTCATCACCAAGCAGGGATACTTGTTCGACAAGGAGGCAATCCTGCAGTACATCGTCACCAAGAAGAACGAATACAGCCGCAAGCTGAAGGAGTTCGAGCGACTGCGACGGGTCGAGGAGGAGGAGATCACACAGGAGGCCAACTGCAAGCAGCAGGCGCGCATGGAGCGATTCGTCAACTCCGAGAAGCCCACCACAACACCTGCCCACAAGTCCAGCCTAGTCGAGCCACCCCTCCCATCCACGCCCAGCACTTCGGCAGCAGCCATTGCCGCCTCAGAGACCGGATCCATTTCGAACATGGCCAACGGGAACCAGACTAAGCTGCCCGCCTTCTGGCTGCCGTCAGAGTGCCCCAATGCCGGGGCAGCCAAGGCGAAGAAGCCCGATCCCACCATTTACTGCCCTGTGTCCTCACAACCACTGAAAGTGAAGGACCTGATTGACGTGAAATTCACCCCGATTAAGGATGGCGACGCAAAGAAATCGCTAATTGCCAAGGAGGTGCGCTACATGTGTCCCATTACCCACGATGCGCTCAGCAATGCAGTGCCCTGCGCCGTCCTGAGGCCAACGTAAGCTTTAAACAGTTTCAGGTTTGTCACTGTCTGACGTTCATTTGCGTATCTTTGCAGTGGCGATGTCGTGACATTGGAATGCGTGGATAAACTGATCAGGAAGGACATGATTCATCCACTCACAGATCGCAAGCTCAAGGAAAAGGACATAATTCCCCTGCAGCGCGTAAGTAGCAATCAAACATATTCGATTCATCTATTTTTTTGATTTATCGGTGTTGTTCCACAGGGCGGCACTGGCTACTCAACCACCAACGACAAGCTGTCGGCCAAGGAGCAGCGACCCATGTTGCAGGTCTAAGATTCATATACTCAAATTCATTCTGACAACAGCTTTGGGCTCTAATTAAGTTATCTTTAAGCTGCATATTTAAATTTGTTTCTCTCTTAACTGAGAATACGTGGCCGCTGCTGAGGGTTAACTATTCGTTCATTCAGCTAATAAATGAAATCCCAAATGCACGACAAAACTCTGCCTTATTTTGTGGGTTAAAGTATATATAATAAATGTATATTGAATGTATCATCATATGTATATCATGAAATTTGCAGAAGCTTCAGAGATGCATTCGAATGCGGCTCTTGGGGTTGGCTGTTTGGCCACTAGGCCGCCTGCACGGACTGCTTTTGAGAGGAGCTGATCTTGTCGCCCAGACTCAAGGCCATACCCTGCGTAGAGAGTGAGAGAGCATTAGAGGGGGGAATTGTTCAATGTTTCTTCCTATTATTACCTGACTCTTTGCACGTATACGTATGTGGCCTGTCACCTTTGAGTCGGGGTCATCGACGGGCTTCTCAATGCTCAGGTTGGCCAAGGCATTCTCACCGAAGATGGATCTGTGGAGGGGAAGAGGTTAGTTTTTTGGGAAACCATGCGAACCCAGGTGACTCCACTTACTTGGCATACATGTTGGCGGCCATGAAGCCGCACTGGCCGGACAGCGCCTTCTCCGGCGTAAGGCACTTCATGTTGGTGCTCTTGAGCAGGTGCCTGAGATACTCGTGCAGGTCGGTGAAGCTCGTGTTAACTGTGACCTTGTTCTCCCACTCAAAGTCCTGCCACATCTGGCGGAACTCAGTGTCCGTGCAGCTGGCCGGAATGATGTAGTCCATGATGTCAATGTGTATGGTATTCAGCACGATCACATTCGTGTTCAGCGCAGTATCGTACACTAGAAGGAGGGAGAGAAAACATTTGCATTATGGGTGCCACTTTCACTTTCACTTCCACTGCAACTGCAACTGGCACTCACCGATGTTGCCAAAGATTATGCCGTTCTCTGTGGAGGAGACCTTCACGTTGGCCTTGATGTTGCAGAAGTCGTGGGGTGCCAGCACAACTGGATGTGGACGCTCCACCAGCTTCAGATCGCCCAGCGTGGCCAGCTCCAAGGTGCAGTTCTGCAGGGTATCATCTGCAACAACAAAAGGGAACGCTGATTAATGCTTAACTTGCGGCCATGACGAGGACTCACTTGTCTGGTTGACGATGAGCACGTCCAGGACAATGTCGTACTGGTTGACATTGACGTAGGCCTCGGCGTAGACCGGATCCGAGAAGCCTGTCAGCTGGGTGACCTTGTTGAGTTTGTTGTTGGGCGAGGAGATGTCGCTAAGCTGGGCCGTCTTGGTGCCGGCCAGTGCCTGATTCAGACTGGACTCGAACACGTTCTCGCCCAGCTGATTGTCGCGGCCATTGGAGAGCTGTGCGAAGAGCACTGGATCATCTGGCTGCACCTTGGCGGTGGCACGCTGCTTCTCCTTGAGCATGCGCAGATCCTCGTCGTGTTGGGCATCGAGCATCTTGCCCAGAGCCTCGCGGCAGTAGTGCATGAATACGGACACAGCCTCCTCGGTGCGTTCGCTCAGCGTGCGCAGGCAGATGAAGATGCGATCAGTGTCGTCGTTGGTGATCGGCTTGCTGGGGAACCCGGATTTGCCCAGGTGCAGGATCGAGCTCATGATCAGCATCACTCGCGTGGTAAGGCGGTTCTGGGCACTCGACTCTGGCTGCAGCTCCACGTAGCGCAGGGCCAGCTTGGTCAGAGTGGCTGACAGGGCGGCTCCAATGAAGAAGTCACCGTCCATCAAGTACTGCCGCAGCGGCGGACGCTTCTCCGCCTTGGTCACCCTGTTAGAACAACATGAAATTGAGGGAATCTGTGAGGAGTCGCACTGAGGAATACTTACGGGGCCAGGCTGTAGGCACTCTGGGTGGCATAGGTGCCGTCGGAGGTAACCTTGTTGATGGCATTGCTTGTGGTGGTGGTGCTGCTGCTGCCGTTGCCATCACCGGATGCGCCTCCCTGCTGCTGATTCTGCTCATCCGTTGGGTCACCAGTTAGGCGACGTTGCTCGGCCTCGACCATGGGAATGTCGCCGAGCGTCTGCTGGATGGCGTCAATCACCTCGAGAATCTGCGGACCCTCCACATACTCGCCCAGGATCCACACGGCGGCACGATGAATCTTCGAGGATTTTATCTGGGGGAAGGCCTCGATGAGGTGCTCAATGATGAGAGCACTGAGGGCCGGGAACTTCTGGATTGCTTCGCGTATGAAGATGAGCACATCGGCGGCGGCCAGCTCGTTGGTGTCCGAGAGGAACTCCACGAGAACGGGAATCACGGTGGCGGCCACATCGGGGAACTTGATGGAGCAGATGTGCAGGGTGCGGACGAGCAGCTGCCGGTACTTGCCCGTGTCCTCGTGCTCCACGTTGTGCGTTTTGGCCACCTCCTTCTTGAGCACCAGCACCATCTCGCCGATGTTGCGCGAGTAGACCAGATCCATGGCCAGGGCGAGGGCCTTGCGGCGCACCTCGATATCGGGAGCGGCCAGGACACGCAGCACGTCCATGACCAGATCCTGCATGACCTTCTCCATGTTCTCGTTCTCCTTCATGGCTATCAAACGGTCGAGGACAATGAGCTTCACGTTGTTGTCGCTCTCCTTCACGATCAGCTCGATGTAGCAGCTGGCGGCGGCCTTGATGGCGGTGGGGGCCAGCGAGAGGGTGATGAGTGTGCCGGCGGACTCGTAGCGGACCGCATTCGAGGAGGAGTTAAGTAGGTTGTAGATGCAACGGATGAAGCGCGACCGCTCGGCGGGATTGGCGTGGCACACCTTGTAGATGAGCTCTACAATAACCAGCTGCAGGATGTCGCCGAAGCTGTGCACCTGGTCGATGCAGGAGGCCAGGTAGTTAAGGGCGCGCTCCTGGTCGGCGTGGAGCAGCATGAGGAAGGCGTTCCTCTTGCACGACATGTCCTGCTGTGTGTCCAGGAAGTTGGCGATCAGCTCCGGCCCGTCCGGCACCAGCCAGTCGAAGTTCTTGTAAATTGTGAAGATGGCCAGGACGGCGTTGCGGCGCACGTACGAGTGACGGTGGTCCAGGCAGGCCCGGATGGCGGGCATCAGGGGCTCTAGCAGCTCGGGTTCCTTCAGCTTGCAGAGGAAACGCAGCGTGGAGCCGCGCAGGAACTCGTTTGGGTGTTGCAGATCCTACAGCAAAGCGAAAGAAACACACACATCAGCAAATGGCATGCGTGGGGCCACGTTGCACGTTGCACTCACCTTGCGGTACGCATCGCACACGAGAATCATTTCCTGCAGCAGCTTGCCGTCGCCCGATGTCTTGGGCACAATCTCCCAGAAGATGAGCAGCAGCTTCTTGATTGTGTGGTCCTGCACGGGCAGCACGAAGCGTATGATGGTCATAATCAGGCCAGGGTAGCGCTCGCCATTGAGCAGCAGCTTGATCACCTTCTTCAGCGTCTCGATCTTGTGGTTCGTGTCGCCCTTTTCCAAATCTTGCTTCAGCTGCATCTCGTTGGGGACCTCCAGGTCCGGCGAGTTAATTATCGTGTAGCACGGCACTTGGCTCATCCTGGCTAGCTTATCCCGACTTAATGTCAGGTGTCACGGGGGATGTTTTGTAGTTTTGGGTGACGTTACGTCTCTTTCCTGGTTGTAATTTCGCTTTTTTGTGTTCTTTTCTGTCCGGCTTGACGTGTCATTCAGTGTGACCGCAGTTTTATCGATCAAATATACCGCAGCCCTAATACAATAAAATACCAAAAAACATTGCCAAATATCCAATGGCTTATATCGAAATACGATAAATCATGAGTGTAGATGAACGAACAAAACTAAAAATTCCTGACAAACTTCATGTCAAAAACTGTGCCATGCATTTTCAGTTTATCTCTTCGTTGGGAATGCATCCAGCAATTTGGAATCCACAGATTCATTTCGATACCTGACCGACATATCGTTCAGGAATATTACAATTATGTTGGATGTGATTTTTCTTATTGGAATATGCCACGAAGCTTGCGATGTTTCCGCGGTGCTGAATATCCGAAGGCCATTCATGATTATGTTTCTTGATTTGAATTCTAGCTGTCTAGGATCCCAAGAACTGAAGAGTTAAGTACATATGAATGTATGTATGTATGTATGTAATTTTACATATATATGTATGTACGAGAGATGAATCCAAGTTGAGTTGTAAATTTTAAGGACTGCTCTTTCTTTGTATTATCTATAAACGTAATTTTATTTATGCTGCCGACGATCGCCCTTCCACCTGGCTTAGATAGCCTCTGAGGGCAAGTTTCTGATAAGGAAAGTAATATTTGTTCTGTTGGAAAAATCCCATTGGGGAAATGCACGGCGAACTTCGAAGCTTTTCGACCTTGCCGGCGACATCCGTTCGCTGATACGGGAGCGCACGGCAGTAAATTTATGACTTTTGTCCCACGTATCAGCCAAACGCAAAATATAAAAATAAATAAAAAAAATAATTCTTACCCCACCCCCCCCCCCCCCCCCCCCCCCCGCACCATTAACCAAGACATCTTCACACAAGCACAATCCAACACACGAACACCCACACTTACATGCACATGTACACGCCCACGCCGTGTGGCTTTTGTGATCTCGTTGAGCATTCAATTCTATTAAAGCTTATTTATTATCCAACTAACCAAGCCTCTACCTCCCACGGATTCCCCTTTTCATTGAGGCACGGCTTGCATTTTAAGTAATCACAAATTTAAGTTTTCAGTTGAGTTGCGGTCTCTGTCTCTGTTTCTGTCTCCCCCTCTTGATTGCACTCAGCCGGTGTGCCGGTGTGCCGGTGTGCCCGTGCCGGTGCCGGTGCCGGGTGGTGATCCTATCAAGACTCATCCCATAGAACAGGTTTCGTGCTTGGGGCAGCAATTGTTTGATGGCAAAATGAAACCACAACAAAGTGAAGCCAAGCTCTAGACTTTGCCGAATGCTCTTCCTTGGGTAACGGAGTGGAGAGTTTAAGACTAAAACGGGAAGCCATTTCAGTATTTTCTATACGTATGTAAATGTCATTCCTTGTCATCATACATCATGCTGCCCAAGTCTCTTTAGGAAAATAACCTACCCCGACAATGTGGGAATAGTTGAGCTTGATTTATGGTTTATGAAGTACAGGGAGAAGGGAAAGTGGGTTGCACTGATTTGCGTGGCAGAGGGTGGCATAACCTCCACAACTAGAGGGATCCCCCCCGGGCGATGACTTAACCGGCTGCGAGAAAGATCTACGGTCTAAGTGGATTGTTGTGAACAGAAACGGCTCAGCGGCCCTAAGCTTCAATGAGTTAAATAAATTCCTGGAAGTAAAAGCTGGATATCTGGAAAATACTTATTGAACGATCAATTATCTCAAGATACAAAAATGAAAAAATAAAAACGATTAATTGAAGCAGGAAGGGTGGGAGTGTGATATATAAGGCTCTGGATCGTTAGCTCTGGAGTGTTCTCCAGAGTCGCCCTCAACCCCCTTCCAGAGCCACGTCAACCCACACAGCCGCGTATCCACCTTCCTCCCCTTTGGCCTGGGCAGAACCGGTCTTAATGGGCGGCTCTCCAGGAGGAGAGGCTCGCCAGAGGGGAGCAAACAGATCAGAATAAATAATGAAATGAAAAACAAGAGCAAGAGCCCCAGCCAGACAAAGAGCGAGAGTACAGTATGTATGGGTGATCGTTGGGTGTATAAAAGCGCCGGCCGGCCTGTGATTCGCCACAGTCTAGCTTTGACGATACGAAGATGATCGGTGGAACTTGGTTGCTGCTCTTGGTGGCCCAACTGCTGTTGGCTTTTGGCCAGGCAGAGGAGCCCATATGTGAGTCTTACGCGTAACATTATGAGTTCCATTCGGGAAAGCCAAATGCTCCCTACTCTCCCTGCAGATCGCTTGTGCGTGCCGAAGATCTATCTGAAAGAATGCCAGCAGCTGCTGTCCGATCCCTCGGAGGCGGGCATACGCATGGAGTGCGTCGCCGGGCGGGATCGGGTGGACTGCTTGGAGCTGATTGAGCAGCGGAAGGCAGATGTGCTGGCCACGGAGCCGGAGGACATGTACATGGCCTACCATCGCAAGAACGAGGACTATCGCGTGGTCTCCGAGATACGCACGCAGCAGGACAAGGACGGTAAGTTCCTAACCCTAGCTGGACCTCATTTCTCGTCTGATTTATGCCCATTGATGCCCCATGCCCAGCTGATTTCCGCTACGAGGGCGTTATCCTGCTGAAGAAGTCATCGCCCATTAAGACACTCCAGCAGCTGCGTGGCGCCAAGTCCTGCCACACGGGCTTTGGCCGCAATGTTGGCTACAAGATTCCCATCACAAAACTGAAGAACAATCATGTGCTGAAGGTCTCCGCGGATCCGCAGATCTCTGCCACCGAACGTGAGCTCAAATCGCTGTCCGAGTTCTTCTCGCAGTCCTGCCTCGTGGGCGACTACTCAGCCCATCCGGAAACGGATCGCCTCCTCAAGAAGAAGTACTCCAACCTGTGCGCTCTGTGCGAGAAGCCGGCCCAGTGCAATTATCCGGACAAGTATAGCGGCTATGACGGTGCCATTCGCTGCCTGGACAAGGGCCAGGGCGAGGTGGCCTTCACCAAGGTGCAGTACATCAAGAAATATTTCGGCTTGCCTGGCGCAGCGCCCGACTCGCCGCCTGCCGAGGGCAATGCCGAGGATTTCGAGTATCTGTGCGAGGATGGCAGCCGTCGTGCCATCACGGGACCCGCCTGCTCCTGGGCCCAGCGACCGTGGAGCGGCTACATCTCCAATGAGCACGCTGTCCACGGCACGGAGCAGCTGCACCAGCTGCAGGCCCGCCTGGAGCGCTTCTTCGCCAACGGGCTGCACGCGCAGAACAAAGAGGCCGCCGCCCATCTGCTCATCCAGCCGAATGCCGTGTACCACAGCAAGCCGGAGGCCATCGATCCCAAGGTCTATTTGGAGCGGGCCGGCTACAAGGATGTCATCGAGCGCGACGGCAGTGCCATCCGCAAGATCCGTCTGTGCGTGCAGCAGGAGGCTGAGTTTTCCAAGTGCGAGGCCCTCCACCGGGCAGCCTATGCCCGCGATGCCCGACCCGAGCTGGAGTGTGTCCAGGCCACGGACTGCGTCGACGCATTGGGCAAGGATCAGGCTGATCTGGTGATCTTGCCCGCCTCCGGCTATGCCGATGCCCGCCAGCACAAGCTGCAGCCCATTGTGTACGAGCAGCTCGCCGACCAAGACATTCTCGTGGCCGTGGCCCCGCCCACCCTCAATCGAGAGGCACTCCAGAAGGCAGCCATGTAAGATTTTGTCCTGTAAGTGACCCAAATCTGAGACTAACTTTCGCTTGCCACAGCAATTACGATGCTGAGAACGAGCGGGCTCGCCTTTCGGCCGCTTTTCTCAACAAGCGACGCGGACAGGACGGCTGCCACATCTCCCCCAGCTCCGAGCAGGAGCTGCTCATCGTTCCGGCCTCAAAGCTGGAGGAGCACAAGGACTGGCAATTGGTCTGCCCCGGACTGACGCGCAGCCCAGTGACCGACTATCGTGCGTGCAACGTGGAGGTGCAGCTGCCGCGCGCCATCTTCGTGCGCTCCGACAGCAGCTCCGTGGAGCAGGAGACGGTCAAGCATCTGTTCGCCCTCATCTCGGACAAGTTCGGGGCCAGAGGCAAGCTCGTTGATGTCTTCGCCTTGTTCGGGGAGTTCCAGCAGGGCCACAAGGACGTTCTCTTCGATGTGAGTTGAATTCGCTATTTCCCCATTTCTAGCACATTTTCAATCCCTCTGTGTCTTTGCAGGACAATGCCGTGGAGCTGTCCACGCAGCTGAAGAATGACGTTCAGGACGAACAGATCTACAGCGACCTTCAGTGTGAGGGCAACAAGATTGTCAAGCAGTGATTTACATTCTCCTGGAGCGCTGCTTATTCTCCTAAGCATTCTCCCCCCTAAGCATAAATAAAAAACCTTTTTTTCGCATATATAGCAAACGATTTCTTTGGGCTTTGCATTGTTGAGGGAAGATCCACTGAAATAGCTTCAAGTTGGATTTTTGTATAGTGTTCCCCGGGGGTCAAGGGCTTCCAGAGCGCTCAGGGAAAATCACTTCAAATAAATAAATTATAATTAATCCATGAAAGACCCTGGGAGACACAGCACATCGTTGCGCCGCTTCAATCTTGCAATCTTACGCGTCATGCAGCAGCGACACTCGGTCGTTCGCTTGTTCCCTTCAAACATTAATTGGACAGCAGAACAATCACCGAAAACGACATAAAATGCTTTCAATTACAGCATTTTAGTTTATTAATTAATTAATTTAAAAAAAATAGACATCATATGTATTAATGGAACCAGCTAATGTATATAATGTATATATATGTATATATATATCATAACTGTATAACCGTATGGTATATATATTTTTTCAGGCGTTTAAAATCGCCAGGGAAAATCGTACGTTTTTCAATTAATTGCTTCTGCTTTCAGTTTCGTATTGGGGGGGGGGGGGATGGGTTTTGGGTGTATTAAGGGGTGGGGGGGAAATGGAGAACATTTGATAAGAAAATTCGTTGATCTACCAGCTGCAGTTGGGTTCTGAGTAGGGAAAGGCCAAAGTCCTCGCCCTAGTCATCGGAGGCGGCGCGTAGCTGCTGCTGCTGCTGCTGCTGCTCCGTGCACGATGATTCGCCGCCGCTGGGTATCTCCTCCTCCTCGGAGTAGTCCTCGTCGTGGGTGTGAGTCACCACAGTGGGTGTCGAGGGACGTGTGTGGACAATGGAGCTCTACGAAAAAGATTCAATAAGAGAGGAAAAAAGGCTTTCATCTAGAGTCTTACAGCACGATGCAGATCCTTGGCATCCTTGGTGGCTTGATCCTTGATAACGTCACTGCCGGAGACGCAGCGAGGTGCCTCTTCGAAGCAGGGAGCCGCCGAGGGCGGTGGCTGATGGGCCTGATCGTGGGCCACCGTCGACTCATGGGGCAGCAGCATGGCGGGTGCGCGGAACATGTACGAGAACGGGTAGTAGATGAGGTTGAGCAGGGTGGCGGCATAGACATCGGCGTACCGCACCACCTGGCTGGAGAAGAATGTCTGACGGGAGCCAGAGCGGAAGAGCGAGCCCATCATGCCGTACGACATGTCCATTTTGTGTGTCACGTCCCGTATGCACGTGCGCAGCTGGGAGATGTCCGGCTTCTCCTTGGCACTCGAGTCGAGGTCGCGATAGAGATCGCCCAGCTTAATGTCGAGGTTCTGCAGCTCCGCAAACAGCTGGCACTCGTCCGTCCACACGTGCAGCTCCCGCACCAGCTCCGGCACGATGAGGAAGGTGCGCCAGCCGCGGATCTTCTTCGACTTGAGGATATCCCCGAATATGTGATCGCCCACGTAGAGCACATCCTTGCCCTTGGCATTGATGAACTTGGTGAAGAGCTCACAGGATCCGCCCGAGTACACTTGGCCCGGCTGCAGCGGCCCAATGTGTGTGCCGATCTTCAGTCCCCCAGTCTTTGTGTCCACCTGCCGCAGCACGGTGCCCTCGTCGAAGAAGAGCGGCTTCCGGGCATCCACGACAATCACATCGAAGTAGCTCTTCCAGTCCCTGTGCGGCTCATTCGGTGTGGCGCCGTGGGGGAAGTCGAACAGGTATGTCATGATCTCATTGGTGTACGTGTAATCGCTGTTCGTCAGCATAAAGAGCTTTGCGCCGGACTCCCGAATGCGTGAGAGCACCGTTGGCAGACGCTCATCCTTCTTCACATAGTGAGCCATGTTCTGGAAGATCATTATCAATGGAAATCAGTCGTTAAATGTAATCAGTCGAAAAAGTGAGGTCTCACCTGAGTGGTTCGTCGCTTGAGGTCACCATCGGAATGCACCCAGTCGACGGCACGACGCACGTCCTGGAAAATGGACTTGTACGTGAATAGGAAATCACCAGCTTTGATGCCGCGCTCAACGCTAAGAACAGAGAATGAAGAAAGGGAACAGAGAGAGAGAGAGTGTAGAGAGTAGAGAGTAGAGAAAGAGCAAAAGGGCATACAAAATGCAGGATGGAGAATGGAAACCATGAGGTTCAGGCTTACCGCACAAATTCGTTGCTGTTGTTGAAGAAGTCAGTGAGACAGGCGAGCAGATAGGTTTCGGGCAGATTGAAGAGCGTGTTCAGCACATAGACACGCGACTCGTCCAGCTTGAGAAACTTGTTCGGATACAGCTCGTACACCTGGTGGCTGTGCGGGAAGAGATTTATTGATGACATGAAGCTCTCTTTTTATGCCGAATTTCCTGACTTACTGCTTGATGAACTCAAAGCCATGCACACAGACCAAGATGTTGCCGTAGGCATCCACCTTCAGCAGATTGCCGTAGAGTGTGTCGAACCAGAGGCCGCGCACGGGGAACGTTGGATCGTATTCAAATTGCAGAATCTCCTTCGGATAGCCCATCGAGACGAGGCGCTCTTTGACCAGATTGAAGCCCAGCTGCTCATACTGCGGAGACTTGTACTCTTCGAAATAAAGGAGGTTCATTAGTTCACTTGAAGGGGCAGCCAAAGGGAATAATCATACCTGCCAGTGTGTAGTCCATGTCGAAGCCATAGTACTTGATGTTCTCCAGATGCAGCGATCTGTTCACGAATACTCTGCGGAGAGCAAAAACAAACAAAAATGTGATTGGTATCGGGCGTTGCATACGTTTAGGCGCGGGAATTATAAAATATTTCGCTCAATCTATGCGAAGTTGAGGACGTTGTTGATAAGGCAAGCGATCTGTCAGTCGTTTCGTGTAAAAACAAACTTCAATTGTGTAACGAAGGACGCAGGACATTTGCCACTTTGTCATTGCTCTTTGATGCTTCTCCTCTGGCCTCTTGCGGCTGCCACAGTGATTACAGCGACTGCGGTCAGCAATTAGTGTAAAAAACTTGTTCTGGGCTGCAGCAGCGTCACGCCCCTTTCGACTATGGCTGCTGACAGGCCACTGCCACGCCCATTGACCGACCGCAAACACACAACACCCCCCCACCCACTTGTGGGAAAACCCATTAGCAGAGCGGCCGAGCATGGGTTAAATATTTTGCGATGCTCTCCCGCGCTCTCTGCCACAATCGAGAGTTCAACCAAATACTGGCAGTGCGGGGTTTCTTATTCAATAAATTGATGAAAGAATTATTATCTTCACGGAAAGGGCATTTAAGGTTCGGTTCTTTTTGGGTAAATCATTTCCATCTTTTCCCCGAAATTCTGTCTGCTCTCTGTCTTGCGTTTATCTATTTCTGCACTGTCCTTTTTGGCAGTTACATAAATATATTCTGCAGAGTTCACTTGAACATTTGCCAAGTAAGTGTTCAAGTTGGAAGCTTTTTTCTCCACTGTTTTGGAAGGACCTCATCACCCATTTGAAGCCTGATCTTGTGTGTTCACACGCAGAGAGAGGCTTGGTGAATTTTTGTCAGCAGCAGCAGCAACAGAGCCCCAGGTCCAGGCAGGGACACAGGGGAACGATGATTTACACCTTGAAACTTTTATTGAAATGGCAAATGTGCAAATGTGGCAAATTTAGAAAGTTTCTTCAGTTGTGCAGCAGAGAAACATTTACGCGAAAGGCTAAACAATTAGGAGACACTTCTATCAGCATCTAGCAGCTGCATATTTGTGCACCTGAACAGAGCAGCCAATGGACAGACAGACAGGCAGAGAGACAGACTGAAAAGATTATTAATTAGCGATCGCTGATGGCTTTAGGGTTATAAATAGAAAGACAAATTGCAACAAAAGCGGATCCAAATTGGGTGCTCCCAAGCATTGTCTAATTGTTGCCACAAATCACATCGCGTTCCCCCAAAAATAGACGATGCCCCAATGTCAATGCCATTTCTCCCTCTCTCCCGCTGTTTGCTCTAGGAAATATTATAAATAAATGTTTTACAGCTGTGTGCCTAAATGCTCTAAGGAATCCTCACACTTTGTGCGATTAAATGCAAAAATGCATTCGGACGGGGGCAATTCTGAGCCTTGTTTTTTTCACATTCCTCTTGATAACAAGGGAGAATCGAGTGCGTCAAACGTGTTGCTGCTGTTTGCTGTTTGCTGATTGCATTTCACTCGAGCGATCAGCGATCAACGCTCGACCATCGACAATCAATAATTTGTGACGTGATTACGCGCCCAGAGGTCATTCATCATACAGTGTCTGAATGTCTGCTACAAGATCAGAGGAACAATCTAGATTCTAGCAGCTTTGCCACCCCGTCACTTACGCATTCAGTGGCTGTTGCATGCCACTTGCTGGTGTTTCCGTTTCAGTGTCAACTGTCTTGGCCGTGCCACTGCCAGTGACATCTGTGGCCTGCTGGCCATTCTGCAGCCTTAAGCTGCTCTCTGCCACTGTTTTCGTCGCATGCCAACTTCTTTCGCAGCAGCCTCCACTTAGACGACTGCAGCAACTGTACTCCAAATGATGGCTGTGGCTGCTGTTTCTGTTATGCATTGCAGAAGGATCCTGCACAACGACAATCACAATGAATAGCGGATGAGGGGGAAAGCGGTTGTGGGTGTGCCCTGGGCTGATGTTTTCTATGAAAAGTGTGTGCGAATTTCTCCCTCAGTTTCTCTTCACAGTTTTCATTCTTCATTTTATTTGTTTTGCTGCTGTTGCTGCTGCTGCTGCTGCTGCTGCCGAAAATGGGAATTTATGGCTGAATGCTTATCGCTTTCGACCCTTTTGTGTGCACGAGAAGGGGTCCAGACGTCAAGGCTGTCAAGTGCTGCCACTAGTGGCTGGCTGTCCTTGCCACAAACAATGTCTGCAGTGCAACTGAAGCAACTGTCAGTGCAACAGCAACAGCAGCAGCAGCAGCAACAACAAATTGCAATAGCAATAGCATTGTTTTTGATTAGATTTACGAAATTGCTTGCCACCAGAAGGAGCAGGAAGGAGAAAGGAGCATCACATAATGCTCATAAATCGCTGTCATCCCCA